TACCATAACTACCACTATTTACCACATGAAAGGAATATCCATACAGTAACACCATGTTGACAAATCCTCAAACAAAATGAACATAAAAATCCAAAATGCTCAACACCCAACTATCTCCTTAAAACCATCAATAATGCGATCAATCACCACTGTCTTCCTGAATACTGGGATCACCTCTAAACTAACTTACTCTACAATACAAGAACCTCAAGTACTAATACCCCATGATAATCCTTCCTAAAATGACTGCACCACTCTAATCCTTGGGAAACAACAAACCTCCACTACTAACCGCTCCCTCAAAAGTGACACCAACCTGACACGAAAACACACATCACTCATGATACCCGACACCATAGTCAACAACCCGCTACAAGAAAAAGAATCATACGTAGCATTCTACAAAAACAGCCCCCAGAGGAAAACAAACACTATGTTAAATGGTCAAACACAAAGACTGTAGCAGACGACGAATATAAAACAATGGTCTCCCATTAGTATCCAACTAGACACTCAAGTCATGCCTACAACCACGACTGCCATCCAACACAATGGAATGTCCACATCAATTTCATCCGAGTTGTGTGCCTGTAGCTCGCTCAGTATGCTAGCCTTCAGGTGCCACCTGCACACGCTCACACACACCCGCCCACAAGGCCACAAAACAAATAAATCAAATAGAATAAGCTACCAAGCCCAAGAGGTCACTCCTCATCCTGGCTCAACACAATCTGTGATCAATACTCTATGGTCACCAAACAACATCACACTTAGTTTCTGCCTTCTTCACTAGAAACCATAACAAAAGGTGCAACCTACTCATCCCGTCGCCAACTCAAGATCAACCTTAACTTTTACTCCCAAAATAGCAATCTAAGAGATAACTCGTAATCTTAAACATTAATGAACTTCTAAGTAAAAATTCAAATACAAACCTTGTTCAACCCGCACAATACCTGAACCTTACAAGTCATACACTACATACCACCTCACATCTTGTGACATCACATCAACTTTGCGTACGTGAAAAGAATCCCACGACTCACACACCCTACTCTTCTAATCCATCATCCCAAGAGTCCCTTCGCTACACCGAGGAAACACAACACAAACCCTCTCCTGTGTAAGAAAATGAGGACTTCCATCCAGAAAGACACCTAAGATCAAACCCTTTCACCATTACCAATCTCTAGGAAGAAGAGTCCCAATGGAACAACACGTTCAGGTCAAACTGGACTCATAAGATTGTGCTATTCACATCACCCTTGCTTATAATACTGATACCTACCCCAGTCATAAGGGATAACTTGCAGAATTAAAACAATATAAAAACACGCCTGCTAAACAATTACATATTAAAAACATAGCACCTACTCATGGGTCGTTTAACTTAGTGATGCACACATATAACATATAAGCATTTGATCACATAAGCAAATTAACACGTAGGCAATTAAACAGGTAAGCAAGTAAACAAGTAGGCGTGTTGCTCAACATCTAAACACTTTAACATATACCACATAGGCAAGTAAACAATTTAGCATGCTTCCTCAAATATCTAAACACGTAACAAATAATCCCATACGTAATGCAAACAACTTCCCATGCAATCCTACATAGGCCTCTACCCGTCGTCCTAAGGTTTTCGAACCATCGCTCTAATACTATTTTTTGTAACGACCCTAAACTGATACCCTTTTTTAAAAAAAATATTTGGCATGACCTACCCTAAAAAGGGAACTACAACCACCAGCTCAAATAAAAAAACAAAACGCAATGGCCCTTCCTGACCTTTCAAAACACCTCTAACTTGTCCCAACACATAATAAAATTAATATACTCCAACATCCCATCCATCCGTTTATTATACCTCAACATGACTCATCTCATGGTGGAACATCTACATACAGTTTAATCCAAATTATCATAATTACAGTCCCAAAATATAGTTACAATAACAAGAGTTCACAAATCTCTATACCAAATATAACAAACTAAGATTTTACAAAAATATGGGATTTAATACAAAAATAGCAAAAAGAAGTCTTCTAATCCAAATTAGGCCTGTGGTGGAAAGTCATCTGCCACTTCTTTCCCGTTTCCTGAAAAAAAAAATTATTAAATAATAGGGAGAGCATAAAGCTCAGTAGGTAGCACTTAAGACACGCGTCTTGTGTCCTTGTAAATCCATACAAAGAATAGATCAATAGAAATGGGGATCACACAATGTCGGGATAATACAACATGCTAACCAAATTCAAATACAATCAATGCAATGCCATGGAATGCAATGCATGCCGATGTCATTTCCCATTTTCAACATTTGAAACCATCACTTTCAAACTGTTAATATAATCCGCCCTTTGGTGACCCCGCAACGACACGAGAGAAGGATTGGCTAGTGTCCCTGACCCTTGGTATCCCCGCGACGTCATTATGGAGCCCAGCTAACTCAACCACGCTAAGGCGACTCCCTAATTCCCTCTAGGCTATATTAGCACTCCGGCCCTTTGGTACCCCCGCGGCGACCGAGTTTTCATAAAACCATTTCATAAAAACTCTTTCCCAAAATTTCACTTTTTATTTCAAAGGAAAAATTCTCCCACTTTATGCCCAATGCAAGTGCACGGATGCATCAATACCATGTAAATGTCCATTATTCCACAACCAATTCAACTTTAGTAATCGAAGCATAGTTTCACAAGGATTCTTAAAGAAATTACAACATGCTTTTATACAATATAATTTTAGCAAAACGAACATATATAAATCATCCTATAAACATGTTCTTTACATAACTCATTTACCACACATAGTTGTACAATTAATGTATACACATAAAAACCAACAATTTACTAAAGTTCTAAACAAATTGATCATGCTAAACAACAATTTAAGAGGGATTAATTCACTAAAGCACAAGACTTCATGGATTAAGAACCCCTACCTTGATTTTGAACAAAACCCTAAAAATGGGTTCAAATTTTTGAAGTCCCTGGGGAGGCTCAAAGCTGGAATTTCTGGTACACATGCGTAGAGCTCGTCATGCTCTTCGTTTTGCCTCAAACGGCACTCAAAAACTCCAACGATTGAAGATGGAATCAAGCTTCAAATCTTGATTCAAAAATTTGAAGTAAAATGAAAAAGAAAAAGCAAGAACAAGAGTGAGAGAGAGGAACTTATGGGGAGAGAAATGAGAAGGCAGACTTGTGGTCTCTAGACCACTTTTGATATAATGGTGGGCCCCACGAATTTTATTTCTTTTCTCATTATCTTTTACTTGAAATTTTACACCATATAAAATGCATCACCATTTAAATGTCACACCATCATATAAATTAATATGCACTAAATGCAATTGGACCCAACCACAATCCCACACGAAAAACGTGAATATACAGAAATACCCTTACTTCGACGAAATTCCAAAAAAATGGAAAGTGCCGAAAATCGGAAACGTCACAGGTGTGAACACATTAATTTCTTTGCACAAGTTAGTAGATACAGAAAAGGACTTTAGCACAACAAAAGAAGAAGATGGTGACAAGAAGTTTGATGCTAAAATTAAGCAATAAGACTTAATTAATGATCAGCGGGTTAATGATTTTTTCCAAATCAGATGTCCAAGATGGTATGGAAGAATTCGGGCTTCAAATTGGTAAAATATCATTATTTGACGAGATTGTGAATGGGGAAGTTTTTATTCTAGAAGATGCCAATGAAGATATTTTGGTGCCGTGTTTTGAACGTTCTCACAACAATGAACAATATGCTTTTGTGGTAGGCAAGATTTCAGGTTATTCGCAGCCAAACTTGAGATTGAGTTTTTTTTAAGTGGATGGGATTGATGTAGGACATAATTTCAATCAGTTCGACAAGTCCGTTTTCGACTCGAAAGGAGTGTTCTTTGGGTGGAAACAACGCATTGAGAAAAACCACTCAGGGTCATGTCATTTTGCGGCTAAAAACCTTCATTTATGACTCCGAAATCGCGATTTATTGTGTTATAAGAGGCCTGCTAATTATTTCAGAAGTTTGTTCAAGGCCTAACAAACTTCGATTGCCCTCAAATTTTAGATTTAATAGTTTTTTTTTTTTTTTTTTTTTAATTAGGTTTCTTATTCTATTTTTTTTTTCTTAGTTTCTTTATTTTTTAATTTGCAAGAGCATAATTTAACTATTGATTAATAATATTTTTAATTATTTTGTAATTTTTATTTAATTTTGTGGATTCAATGTTACCCTTGTGAATTGAAAGTAATTAACCATGTTTCTTGTGAACGATTTCACAGCTTCAGCTAGGTCAAATGAAAGAATCCAAGTCCAATGTGTTATAATTTACTTATACCAATTCAATAACTTATACCAGTCGAGACTTGGTCTAGTCCAGTTATTTTTTTTATTTTCTACGTAGTATTTTTTTTTCCCAGTCAGAAACGAAAGAAGTACAGGGAAGAAACAACAGAATATTCAAATTAATGCAGTTTTTTTTATTTTCTACGTAGTATTTTTTTTTCCAGTCAGAAACGAAAGAAGTACAGGGAAGAAACAACAGAATATTCAAATTTATGCAGTTCGGTCAGAAACGAAAGAATTACAGGGAAGAAACAACAGAAAAAATACTACGCAGAAAATAAAAAGAATAACTGGACTAGACTTTGATTAAACATATATAACAACGTACGTACGTACCCACGTCTTAAGAACAGATTTGGAATGCCAAACAGATTGTGATATATCAATCGTGGAATACAAGTACCTCTATTGGATCCATTGAAAGTTCAATGTTCTTCCCTTTCCTCTTCACACGCAGTGATCATGATATTTCCTAGTGTCTTCGCTTGTCCATCTTTCTCTCTCTCTCTCTATATATATAGTAACGTACGCAACCTCGATAAACACAGCTCTATGTGCTTAATCCCTATACAAAGCTAAGTATACACCTATACTCCATGAGCATCTATCATAAAATACAATTCATGGATGCACCATCTCTGATCCTTGTTCTTTCTATGCTACTATCATCAGTACCATTTGCATCTTCAACAGTACCTCATAGTTTAACTAAAGGCTATTCTCTCGTAGTCGAGAGTCAGAACCACTTTCTGCTTTCACCAAACGGCCTATTCTCTGCTGGTTTTCAGAGTGTTGGTGATAATGCTTATTGCTTTGCAATATGGTTCACTGAACCATTCCAGAATGGAAACCACACAATGGTTTGGATGGCCAACCGAGACCAGCCAGTTAATGGGAAGCTCTCAACCCTCTCCCTACTGAGAAACGGTAATCTTGTACTAACGGATGCTGGGCAACTCACCATTTGGTCCACCAACACTGGTTCGGTTTCTGTAGTGCAATTGCAGCTTCAAAACAATGGTAATCTTGTCCTCATTACCTCTGAGGGTTTTACTATTTGGCAAAGTTTTCATTCACCAACAGATACACTTCTTCCAAATCAACCTCTCACCAGAGAGACAGTTTTGATCTCGTCACGTAGCCAAACCAATTATTCTTCTGGTTTTTACAAGTTCTATTTCGACAATGATAATGTCCTTCGTCTTGGCTTTGATGGCCTTCAAATATCTAGCGTTTATTGGCCCACTCCTTGGCTAAGTATTTTTCAAAATGAAAGGTCCCCATACAATCCAAATAGAACTGCAATACTCGATGAATCAGGCCGTTTCAGGTCATCTGATGATTTCCAGTTCAGAGCTACGGATTTTGGTGTCGGGCCTCAGAGGAGATTGACCATTGACGCGGATGGTAATCTTCGATTGTACAGTCTAGATGAGAGGAGACGAAGTTGGGTAGTTTCCTGGCAAGCCATGGCTCAACCGTGCCAGATTCATGGCGTGTGTGGACCTAACAGTATGTGTACTTATGGTCCACATGGTAGGAATTGCGCTTGTGTACCCGGATATAAGTTGAAAAATCACACTGATTGGTCCTATGGATGTGAACCAGAATTCAATCTGTCTAGTAACAAGGATGAAACTGGTTTCATCCATCTTCCTACTGTTGAATTCTATGGCCACGATAGTGGCCTCGTCAAAAATTACACCTTAAAGAGTTGTGAGGATGAATGCTTGAAGTTTCCTAATTGCAAAGGGTTCCAATACAAATCTAATTCGGGTAAAGGTCAAAATGCCTGTTACTTTAAGACACTGTTGTGGAATGGGTATCATTCTCCGAGTTTTGAACTTTCAATGTACATAAAATTGCCCAAAAGTATAGTCTCCTCGTATAACAAGCCGGTTCAACAATTCATATTAGATTGCTCCGCCCAACTCAATATGCAGCTCTATAGACCTTATAAGAAATCTCCTGAAAATGGGATAGTGAAGTTTGCACTTCGGTTTGCTTGTGGAATTGGAGGAGTTGAAATCATGTTGATCATGCTCGTGTGGTGTTTCTTATATAGAACCCAAACAAAGTCACATGCAGCTATGCAAGTTTACCATCAAGTTGATTATGGATTCAAGCGATTCACCTATGCGGCACTAAAGAAGGCGTCTAAGAATTTTAGAGAAGAGATTGGAAGAGGAGGTGGTGGTGTTGTATATAAAGGCACACTATCTGATAATCGTGTAGTGGCAATAAAACGTCTCAATGGAGCTAAGCAAGGAGAAGCGGAGTTCTTGGCAGAGGTGAGCACAATTGGGAGGCTTAACCACATGAATTTGATAGAGATGTGGGGATATTGTGCGGAGGGAAAGCACAGGCTTTTGGTGTACGAGTACATGGAGCATGGATCCTTGGCCGAAAATTTAAATGCTAACACACTTGATTGGGAGAAGAGGTTCAATATTGCATTAGGTACAGCTAAAGGGCTTGCTTATCTGCATGAAGAGTGCTTGGAATGGGTTTTACATTGTGATGTGAAGCCACACAACATACTCCTGGATTCTAATTACCAGCCGAAGGTGTCAGATTTCGGGCTGTCTAAACTATTGAACAGAAGTGGTGATAACAATTCGAGCTTTTCCAGGATAAGAGGAACAAGAGGTTATATGGCTCCTGAGTTGGTATCCAATCTCCCTGTCACCTCAAAAGTTGATGTTTATAGCTTTGGAGTCGTCGTATTGGAGATTGTAGCCAAAGAGAGGGCAACAACAGGCGTTGACACCATCAACGGTAACTGTGATAAAGGCAAGGTGGAAATTCTGGTTGGAGTTGCTTTACGATGTGTAGAGGAAGACAAAAATGCCAGACCAACAATGAGCCAGGTAGTTGAAATGCTTCTACGCCATCAAAATGATAATTAGAAGAGGCAATTCATTGTTGCGGCGACGGACATTAATGCATACTTAATGATCATTGCATGTAGTTCTTTTTTTCTCTTTTTTTTTCTTTTTTTTTTTTTAAATGAGTTTTTATTTCTGTGTGTTTGTTTCACAATTGTAGCTTAGTAAGTCCATACCTATGGACCTACTTTTTAACGTTTAACGTCCCTTGTATTTTTTGCAAAGAATTTATGGTATTGATAATGGGAGGATTATTTAGATTTGCGTTTGAATTGGTATTGTATGTATACAAGAAATGGGGAGTCAGTTAATCATCTTTGGTGCATACATTCTCTCGTGACTCACCTTGGTTGGAATTTTATTTTTGTCTTGTTAGGTGTTGAGTGGGTTATGCCTAAGTTTAGGACAGGATTGATTGATGCTCGGAGAGACGGTCATGTGGGCCCTCAGGCTCAAGAGGTTGGGAGAGTGGCTCCCTCTTGTGTTTGCTAGTACATTTGGAAGGAAATAAGAGATCCTTCGATGGAGAGGACTCTCCTTCTAGGGTTTAAAGTTTTTCCATTGTTTGCTATCTTTTTTGTTAGGTTTTGGAAAGAAATTGTAAAATCTTTAGAGGAAATAATTGGTTTTTTGGGCTCTTTTAGTCTTTAAGGCCTTTCGGCTTTTGTTCAGTGTGTAGTTCTTATCATTCTTTTGTGATTACAAATATGAAATGATATAAGAATAGAATGATTATCACTATTCTAGTGTTTGATTGGATCAATTTATAACTTATAATAGAATGAATTTTAAATAAAATTCACCAAAATCCCCCTCTCAATAACAAATCTATTGAAGGGCAAAATGTTCCAACACCTCTCAAATTTGCCTTTATTACTGATAAATTAAACTAGTGGAATAAAAAGCTCAATCAAACCTCCCCTCAAAAGTCAACTAATTTTAAAAAATAAAATATCAAAACTGCTCCGCCCTTCATTTAATTACGGGTAAAATACAGCCACACCCCCTAAGGTTTAGCAAAAAGACATTCAGAGAAAACTTATCTCTTTTTTGGACAAAGATACCCCATGAAGGTTCAAAAATGAACAAAGACATCCCTTTATATGAAAAATTGACCAAATTACCCTTTGACCATTTATGAGACTTTTTTAACTTTACAATTTAATAAATTGGACCAATCTACCCTCATGAATAATTTATGCATAAAAAAAAGTAAAAAAAAAAATACTTTATATTGTTCACTTTTTTTTTTTTTTTTTTTTGTTATTTACTTTATAAATATATGTCCCAACTTCTTAAAAAGGTAGACGTTTAAAATGATTTTTTAATTCAATACATATATTTCAAATAAATTATATTTGTTAATAATAAAAAAAAAGGAAAAATAAAAAAATAAAACTAAGGGGAAAAAAAAAAAAAGTATGCATAAAGTTAAGATGCATAAAGTTATATTGGAAAATGCATAATATTTTATATATAATTTAAGATGCATAAAGTTATATTGGTACCATATTTTTTATTTTTAAGGAAAAGAGATTGGTTTAATTTTTTTAGATGAAAGAATTAAGAATCTTAATTTAAAAATAAAAAAGAAAAAGAAAAAAAGTAATAACAAAATATAATTTATTTGAAATATATGTATTGGATCAAAAAATTATTTTAGACGTCTACATTTTTAAGAAATTGGAACATTTATAAAGTCAGGAACAAAAAAAAAAAAAAAAAGTGAACAATATAAAGTTTTTTTTTTCGTTTTTTTTTTTTTTTTTTTTTTTTTTTTTATGCATAAATTGTTCATGAGGGTAGATTGGTCCAATTTATTAAATTGTAAAGTTTAAAAAGTCTCCTAAACTGTCAAAGGGTGATTTGGTCAATTTTTCATGTAAAGGGGTGTCTTTGTTTATTTTTAAACCTTCAGAGGTATTTTTGTCCAAAAAATAGGTAAATTTTGTCTGAGCGTTCTTTTGTCAAATTTCAGAAGGTGTGATTGTACTTTACCTTTTAATTAATTAACAAGATATTTTTAAGTGTAGACCTCATTTTACCGTTATACCCTTTGTATATGCTGGTTGTATGGGACTTGTTACACGTTAGTTCTTTTATCTCCTCTTCTTTGCTACACGGTGCCGCCGCAACGAAGCTAGAGCCACCAATAACCAATACCCACCACAGCCAGCCGCCACCAGCGGCGCCAATTCTAATTCCGGCCTTGTAACCATTTGACATTTTCGACCACCAAATTTAACTCCGGTGCCGTCAACTGCCCCCTATAACCCTCATTCACCCTATTCTGACAACCATTGCGACCTCCATAACCTCTGCCACCACCACCGTTGTAAAAACCACCCCACCACGGTTTGATTTTGCACCACCACTATAGAGTTGTATGTATTTGTAAGGCTCATTAATTTGAAAGTTCCATGTTTATTTATTTTTATCATGTTGATGAAACTGTGAAATGTTGATGATAATGTGTTGGGGTTTTTGGGATTCTGATCTTGAGAGCAATCCAAGTTCTTTCATCGTAGAAAATATGGGGATTTGGGTCTACAAGTTCCAAATCTTGCTCGACCCAATTAAACCTATCTTCAAATATGGGCTTTGTGGCAAAAGTGGGTTTATGGAGGACAAGGAGGTTACCAAAATCAAATATAGGAAAAAATTGAGTGCCCATGGTTGTTTTACCGTTCCACATATCAACCCTCCCTTCACAGCCTCACAAGTATCAAGGTGGCGGTGGTTGTGAAAAAGATGATTGTTGTAATTATGACTGTGTAATGGATTTGAACAAAATCTTGAATTTGAAAGAAAAAAAATAGTAGCAAGTCTATTTAGAAGTTTAAATGGAGGCATTTGTGTTAAATGCCCTTGGTCTTCTGACAATTTACAAGTGTATTAAAAAGAGCAATATAGACATTAAATTTTTTTTGTGTATGTGTCAGCAAAGAAAGGTAGGGGTACAATGGTAAAAATATATTTTTCATTAAAAAATAACTGCAATAAATGTTAACCTGAGAGAATGTGAGAGCATTTTACTCTAAATTAAACTAACAAAATCCTCCTAACAATCTTTTATAATTTTTAAAAGGAAATTAATATTTAGTTTTGGGCCGTTTGGGTTAAACTTATCTCCATTGATCTTTCTAAAAGGAGTTTTGTTACAAGGAATTTATAAGAAAAAATTACGTTTATGCTCTGGGATTGAAAAATAAACGGAAGACATCGTTAGTGAAAAAAGGTATTCTTTCATTTTTTATTTGGTTAGATAGAATGGATATCAGAAAGGAGGATGGGTGATATTATATATATATATTGGATGGAATAAAGGAAAGGGAATTTTTATATTCCTTTTACCAATATAACCAAATTATATACAAATATATAAAAATTAGATATCCATTCTATTTTTTGGAAAGGTTAAAAATGAAAATTACATTATTTTTGTTCTTACTCCTTTCCTCGTTTTTTTTTTTTTTTTTTTTTCTCTCTCTCTCTCCTTCTCCTCTATCTTCCAATTTTATGCAGATAGAAAAATACAAGGAAAAGAGGAATGCTTGTTTCCTCCCTCCTTGTTTCCTCCCTCTTCCATTCTTTCTAATCAAACACGAAAAAGTAATTTTATCTCCCCCTCTAATCCATACCTCCTCAATCCCTTCTCCCAACCACACCATTAAGAATGCATTCTTTTAATAGGGTGGTGGCCGTGATGGAGGTGGCGAAGGTGGCGGTGGTGGAAGGCGGTGAAAGTGTTAGTATGCTGGTGACAGTGGAAGGCGGCGATGGCAATGACGGTGGCAGTGGTGGTGACGGTGGGAGAGGCGGTGATGAACAATAATTAGCAAATTTAGAGGGTGAGAAAAGGATTTTTTATGCCCATAAGTTATTTTATTTTAGTTCTAGGTGGAGTATGGAATGGGCATTTCTTAGGTGAAGAAGAAAAATGATCATTTTAGCTTTTTTTTATTGATGAGCATAGAGCAATCAAGGGAATTACTATTTTTCTTTTTGACCTAAGAAATGCTAAAATGATCCTTTTTTCTTTTTAGACTTAAAAAAGCTAAAAAAACAATCTCGCATGGTTGGACAAAAATTTGAATTAGCTTAGTTGATAAAAACATGTAAAGAAAATCCTGTACAAGCTGATTTTTCTCCTCACATACTTCTTGCAGTCACAAACAAGTGAAGAGCCACATAAATTAGAAAGTTGATTTAGTATAGCATAATTAAAATGTTATTTCCATTCAAAAACTACATTCACAAATACCAACAATGGATGCGACAATTGTGAAACAATATCTGAAACATCATTTACTGAAAACAATAAACAATCTTTGAAACATCAAACATCGAGTTGTTCAAAATGTAAGAGATCAGAAGCATTGCAACACTAAACAGACAACCACAAAATACAATGATTTATGAAGTAAGCAAATTAAAATTACCATGAACCAAAGAAATTTACTAGTGGATAAACTCAAGAAACCCAAAATTTTCATTGGTTTTAAAAGAACATTTTGCCTGTCATTGCATCAATGCATTGGCTCTGCTAATGGTCATTTTGTTGGAGTAGAAGCATCTCTACTACCTCACCCTGACTCATTGTTGGTCTCGCATCTCTGTCTTCCTCCACACATTGCAGAGCAACTCGAACAAGAATTTCCATCTTACTTGTTTCGTAGTTACCCTTCATTGTAGGCTCTATAATTTCTTCAATAAAGGATGTCATTGCAATCTCTTGAGTCATCTTCTCCCTTAACCATTTAACCAACCTCCTCTGTTCCATCTCCCCTTCGTTGTCAATGGCGTCCACACCTGTCGTAGCACTCCTTCCTGTTACCAGCTCCAACACAACAATCCCATAGCTGTAAACATCAACTTTGGAAGTGATAGAGCGATTTAATAGCCACTCAGGAGCCATGTATCCTCTGGTCCCTCTTATTCTCGAGAAGCTTGGATTGTTCTCACCACTTCTACTCGGTAGTTTAGAGAGGCCAAAATCCGACACTTTTGGCTGGAAATCAGAGTCCAAGAGTATGTTCTGGGGCTTCACATCACAGTGCAAAACCCATTCCAAGCACTCTTCATGTAAATAAGCAAGACCTTTAGCTGTACCTACTGCAACATTGAACCTCTTCTCCCAATCCAGTGTGTTTGATTGTAAATTCTCTGCCAATGATCCATTCTCCATGTATTCATACACCAAAACCCTTTGCTTTCCCTCTGCACAATATCCCCACATATCTATAAATTCATGTGATTCAGCCTCCCAATTGTGCTCACCTCTGCTAAGAACTCTGCTTCTCCTTGGATAGCT